ACAATTCGAACAACGAGAGCCCGATGAGACACCCCTTGTCAGAGGCCCCAGGAAAGGGAAGGGCCCAACACAAAGTGAGACTGAAGAGTCAATAAACAGTGTAGGGAGCAAGCTGAAGATAGATGGAAACACCAGACGACGAACCCAGATCTTCGACTCCTGAAAGAGCAAAAAACAGCAGAAATCCCCGGTACAAAATGGGGGCAAGAACAACCAGGATAACCGAAACTCTGAGCCGATAGACCTCGACAAAGACAAACCGACAGATCGGCCAGAGTTGTTGGAGAAGCAACAAAATCAAAATGAGAAGGGGTTCGACCTCGAAGAACTACTAGATTAGGTAGAATCACCATTTATGGAGGAGATCATGAAGGTGAAGGTCCCTCCAAAATTCAAGCTACCCACGGTGAAACAATTCGACGGGACAGTCGACCTAGTGGACCATCTAGATGCTTATCGAGAATGGATGGATATCTATGGGGTGTCAGAGGCCGTCAAATGTCGGGTGTTCTCGACCACATTAAGCGGGTCAGCCAGAGTGTGGTTTCGACAATTAAAACGAGGTTCAATTTCGAGCTTCAAAAGCTTGGCTAAGGCATTCGTAACCCAGTTTATAGGGGGACGAAGTCGGAGCCGACCCGTGGCTTATCTTCTAACTATTAAACAGAGAGCGACAGAGAGCCTACACGACTATGTGGCTCGATTCAACGAGGAAAAGCTACAGGTGGAGGGCCTCACAAACGCTGTATCTCTAATGGCCTTCATGTCCGACATCAGGGATGAGCACTTATCATTCTCATTCGGGAAGAAGACACCGAGCACCTTCTCGGAGGCGCTGAGCCGAGCTCAGAAGTACATGAGCGCGGGTGAGTTCTTTTTCTCAAAGAGGGAGCCAGAAGGAAAACAATCCGACCAGAATAGAGAGAGGTCGGGAGATAAGCCACAATGGTCGAGATGGGAGAAAAGAGATCGGAGTACCAGAAAGATCCACCCCGAAAATTTGAAAAATATACGCCAACTACCGTTCCACTCGAGCAAGTACAATGGAGATCAAAGACCAAAGGTTGTTCAAATGGCCAGAGAGGATGAAGACACCTCCGCCTAAAAGAAGCAAAGGTCGATATTGTCTTTTCCACAGGGATCACGGTCACGCAACTCAGAATTGTTTTGACCTCAAGGAAGAGGTGGAAGGGCTCATCCGGAAATGGTACCTCAAAGAGTATGTAGAGGACCCTAAAGCGAAACAAAACGGCGAGAACGACAGCAAGTCACTTGCTCGAGAGATTCGATCGATAATGGGGGCCCAGTGGAGAGAGAATCTGGCAGAAAAAGAAAGGCAAGCGTACGAGAAGCTAGGGTGAGCCTCGGACAAAGGAGGTCTGCCATGCATATGTTGCGGACCGGCCTGCGAAGATCGAGTTCTCAGAGGACAAGGTGACTCACCTCTTCCACCCGCATAACGATGCGTTGATTATCACCTTGAAAATAGCCAACACTTTAGCTCAGCAGATATCATCTCCTTGACAGCCTACAAAGCCATGAATTTAGGAGAAGAAGTGCTTAAGAGCAGCCCGACACCATTGATAGGATTTGGAGGAGAGTGGGTCATTCCCAAGGGGAGAATAGAGTTGCCTGTAACGTTTGGAAATAGGTGAAAAAGTATGACCAAAATGGTGGACTTTTTGGTCGTCGACTACACATCCTCCTACAACGTAATATTAGGAAGGCTGATAATGGATACCATCCACATACCACCAGTCCATGAAATTCCCAACACCTGGTGGAGTAGGATAAATTAGAGGAGAGCAGCGAGTATCGCGTGAGTGCTACTACACTTCAATGAGGGACAATGACAAGGCTTCTACTACGAGTGGCCATTTCCTTTCCTCTTTCCCTTCAAATGTGATGGATTTAAGATTGTTTCTTCTTCTGCTTTTATGAAGATTTCAGTTTATTGTTTCTTTTACATGTTCAATAAAGTATCCATTATCCAGGTTCCCTACCAACTCTGTTTTCTAAATCCAAAACTGGATGCCAAGCGACTTTGATAAAAGCACATTGTCTCGTCTACAAGCATACTCTCAAGGAGCAAATATCGACAATACACTACCTTGAGAGTAGGGGGCAACATGGTTATGAGATAAGAACGACAGGTCATGATCAATCAAACGACGAAGCAAGTTGGTAAAACCAGCCCAATTCGAATAGGGCTCGGACCCTGCTCGGCGCCGACTTTCTTCTCTTCTATTACTTAGAGTGCAATGAGCACGAATCTACGCTAGTCGACAAAGTTGGAAAGAACAATTGAACAACCTCAGCACGGCCAAACCAGAAGCGGGTCGATTGACCTAGCACGGTTAAAACATAAGATGGAGTAAAAGTCAAACGACAGCAGGTATAAAACCACTGGCTATAGCCAAAGGGTTAGAAACCAATGAAAATGAAGGCAACAAAGTCAACTCCATCAGGGTTAGAGCCGTAAGCCAATAATTGTTGGTAACATAAGGTTAATTGATGATTCTAAAAAGAAATACAATGAAAATAATGACAAAGCAACACCATAAAATTCGTAAAAACGCTAAACACAGGCAAAGCAACTCGCTACCCTCTCAGGCTACCATACTACTTGTCGTCGTCATCATCCATGTCGTCAGGGGCGTCACGCTCAGCTCTAAAACGCTCCTGGAGGAAGGAGAAGTCAATATCATGGTGCTTGTTAGAAACTTGGCGAAGAAACCAGGAAACGCTGCACTCCATGGCAGAATTTTGCAAGTCGACGTATTCCTGAGTTTTTCTAAATTCCCCAACCAGGAATTCAGAATTAGAAAGTCAAACATTGGCCTCGTCAAGCCTCCTCTGCAGGTTGGCCAGCTCATCTTAAGATTTTCTCTTCTCCGTTTGTAGCTCACGTCGGGTACTCTCTTGGAGACTGTTGGCTTGGTTCAAGGAAGAAAAATTCTGATTCAACTCTTCTCGAGGAGCATAGTGGCAGCGGAGGTGGTTAATTTCATTGGCAACTCGACCCGAGAATACCACTAAACGATTGAAAACCTGCCAAGGTCAAAAACCGACGTTAGGAAAAGATGCTATGACAAATACTTGAAGCTACAAAGTACTCACCTGGTGGAGATCGCTAAGACACATATTGATGCTGTGTTGAGGGTTTGACAGGCCAAAATCTGACCCGCTCGATGAGTCGTCGAGCCCTTGCCAAAGGCTAAATGCCCTTTCTAGGTAG